ACAAATCAGATTGCTGCACAAGGGCCTTGACCCTCAGAACAGCTGCGGCTATCATATATTATCAATACACACAATGACATCCATTGAGGTTTCATTAAACAACTACGTGGCTGAGCATGTCTAGACAAGAATGGAGGAATGGCCAATAATGGTTGTGGAAAACTGCAGCAGACTACTAGATAATTGATGCCAGAGTGAAGGATGGAAAGGTCTACTGGGGCCAGAAAGAGGAAGAGAGAAAGGAAAAGCTCAAGTAGAAGTAGAAAGTAAAACTACAAGATCAGCCTGTCTTGGTTTAGCTCTATACAGTAGACCGAAATAACAAGACAGGGAAATTATGTGGTGTTTGCTCCTGTAACTAAAGCATCATCTATAACGTCAGGTTTTAATTACTACAATGCTCCCTGCAACTGTCGAGTCATTGTTATGACAATACTGAGCCATTCAAAGTAACATTGTGTCTTTGCTCTATTGAGGTTTGCGTGGTCAGTGTGCCGTCATAGATTTGCTGTTGAGATTACAGAGCTCAGTCACTGTCTTTCCTCACCACAAACCTGCTGTCTGGATTCCTAATGTTATCAAATATGGTGCAAGACTTTGCTTAGTGTGTATTGCAGAGGTGAAGTTCAAATATGTACTTATAAATATGATGAAAGACGGTGTATAATATTGTTTCAAGAAAAAATATTATGACTATTATTAATGGCCATAATAATAATAAATAATAATACTAATATAAATAATACAAAATAACAGTAATAATAATTATTATCATTATTACTTTATTATCATCATTATTGTTTGTATTACTACTACTGCTTCAACTAATATTATTATTATTAATACTAGCAGCAATATGTTCAAATGTGACTTCAAAAGACTCTGCTTATGTGTATTGCAGTGATGTTAAAATATGTATTTTTATTTATATATTTATATTTTATTTATATACTTTGAAATATGATGAAAGCCAATGTATAATATTGTGTCAAGGACAAAATATTATGACTATTATGACTATTATTAATAGCCATACTAATAAATAATAATAATCAAATAAATAAATTAAAATAAATAATAAAAAGTAATAAAAATAAGTAATAAAAACAACAGCAATAACAATATTTTTATTTGATGATGATGATGATGATGATGATGATATGTTGACAATTTTAAACGCTTCAAGTGAATTCACTTAGACAACATTATCATGTACTTTATGAATGTTCACTTTGAGATTGGCTAAAGATTACATGTAACGTTATCAATTTATGTTTTTAAAGTGAGTCTTTAAGTGAGTAATCTTTAAGTGAGTATTACACGATGGCAATATTATCCTATACAATAAAATCTGTAATAACTGTCTATGCAGTCTAATAACCAAGTACAAGACTAGAGAGCTGAGCTTAATTATCTTCCCAGCTGATTCTACAATACTGGTGTCAGAGGGACTCATGGTGATGTCATCAAGAAGCAGGGGCGTCTCTTACCCGGATGGTGGCCTTGTTGCAGAAGACTTTATTAATGGCGAGCCATGTGGGCAGATCCAACATGTTCTGCAAAACCTCCTCATCTAGCTCCAGGTTGGTAAGCTGGCCCTCCCCTTTCAGAGTGCTCAGATTAATCTTATCTGGGGAGAGGTTCTTAGCAAACCTGCAGAAAAGAGAAAGAGAGAGAGAGAGGAACAGGGAGAAATCAGGGAATAAAATCAGTAAGATGAATGAAGAAACTGAGGGAGGCAAAAAAAAAAAGCACATTGCAGTTTTCCATTATGGTTTAATGGCTCTTTCTCTTGACTGTAATTACAGCTTTACAAGCAAGCAGACCGGTGAGCTGTGCTGTTACCACCCACCACTTGAGAGGTGTGAGTTTGTGTGTGTGTGTGTGTGTGTGTGTGTGAGCGAGAGAGTGAGTGACTGAGTGAGTGAGAGAGACAGAGAGAGAAATGTTTCAAATATGCTTAAACTAAAATGCATATATATAAAAAATATGCTTATGCGTAACATTTCTGTCACACGCTTGAGGTATTCGGCCAATCACAACGCACTGGATAGCTAGCCAATCAGAGCACACCTCGCTTTTCAGACCGATGAGCTTTGTAAAAATCGACGCGTTTCAGAAAGGCGGGGCATAGAGGAGAAACAATAATGTACATTATGTGGGAAATAATGTGTTTTTTGGACCTCGATCCGCATAAACACATTTCATTACACCAAATACACAAAATAATGTTCCTTTTTAGCAACGTCATATGACCCCTTTAATAAGTTCAGTAATGGGTGCTTAAAGACATTACTTGCTAGAAAAAGCTCTTTTCACTGAATTACACACACACACACACACACTTGTCATTTTCAATGGATAGTCACAATGAGTGAAATGCACCTCGGTTTCAGTGACCCAGAGAATCTGAGGAGAGCTCACACAGAGGCCGTGACCTTCTGTTTCTGAGCGCATTGATTTTTCAGTTAATGTTTAAGATTGTTCCTGAAAGTGCAATGTTCTCCGCACAGCTCTCAGCACCGAGGTTGATAACAGAACTCATTTGTTATCATTTCCTTCAGCTGTTTTCGCTCGGCGGGCTAATGACACAAACAGGTCAGGGTGTGGAAAAACCGGTCACTCAAAGCCTATGATGTGGCCAAGGTCAACGCTAGCCTGGGCAAAAAAATGTTTTTGTGTGTCATGAATAGCTTGAAGATGTTGGATGGCCTGTTCATTTGACCTTCAGCCCAGTTTAAATACACACAGTCGCAGTTTAACAGCAGCGAACAGTTCTCTCACAGATTAAGCCAAAAGCTAGACTAAAAATGATTGCTCCTTTGAGAGTCACCGTTAACTGTGTAATTAGGTCCCAGACTAGGTGTAATCTGCGTTTGAGAGAACACCCTTAGATGGTCGTTTAATCCTGTTTCACAACTATCTCACTCTAACAGAATCAAATAAAGAGCTCTATATAAATAACTACAGGTAGATTATTAAAGCCTAATTACTGAGGGACAAAACACCACTAACCACTTCAATAACTTCAAAGTTTCAAATACAGAGGCAACTAAGTGTTTAAAACTGAGGTAACCACTGGCCTGGAAATCTAGAAACTACTTTGCATGTAGGTAAAGTTAGAAGAGATAACAAAAGTTTCCAAAGACTGAATAAGGATGAAAGTGTCTAAAGGTCGGAAACTGTGGCACTTTCCTATGAGTCTCTTTTAATAATTCTGGGGCCTGTTTCATAAAACAAGTTTAGCAAATGAGCCAGGCTTATTTCAGTTAGTCTGACTTATTGTCAGTTGATTTGGTTCAAAATAAGTCAGACTAACTCAAATAAGCCTGGCTTATTTGGTAAATTTGTTTTATGGAACAGGCCCCAGTTTAATGCAGTAAGAAAAAATTAAATAAACAACAAATTACATGTAATTAAAATAATAATGTAATTATTATATTATTGTTATATTATAAATAATTAAATAAATGAAGGTTTATTATAAATATAATTAATAAATTAAATTGAATATAAAACAATACAATTTAAAATAAAATGTAATAGTAAATTAAAAATAAAATAATAAATGAAAAATATGTATTTAAATTCAATTCGATTTAAAAGAATGAATAAAAAGATTAAATAAAATTAAACTTATATATATATATATATATATATATATAACAAAATCATATTCAAAATATAATGACATTATAGTATAAATATATAAAAATAATTAAATAATAATTTAAAAACTAAATTTAAAATTAAAAATAAATTAAAATATTATTAAAATTATATGCAATTAAGCTAAAATTTTAATTCAATCAAAGAAAACTAAACACAAACACACACACACAAACAAATGAAAAAAAATTTAAACAATGCAAATGAACACTTGTATAAAACTGTTGTGTGATTTATTTTTGTATGGAAAGAAGTGTGGAGGAAGCAGCAAAAAAAAGTTGAATGGTGATGAGGCAGACAAATTTCCTTTATTCTGAGTCTCCACAGAACTGTGGTGTGAATTATTAAACCGCCGCTGTGCAACGAGCCCTGCGTGGGCTTGTTCATCACTCTGTGTGTGAAACTAAACCAAACATGAGACACAGGGAGTGTGAAAACCTCCAGACACGCCAGTTCAAAACGAAATGTGAATAGTCTGATGGCCTCTGCGTTACGTAGCCTTGCTCTGCGAAGAGTTAAATATTCATTCAGACACGGCCTACCTTCGTTCTCTGATATCAGATATCAGGTCAGTCCTAAGAACGCTCCGTCACTACAGTGAAGAGATCGGACAGATGCCAGCCAGGTGACATCAGGTATAGGCTCAAATTTAACTACACCTGGATCATCTATTAGCAAAACTCAGGTAAATACATCTTTATTTTGGTTCTAATAGACTATATTTGCTTTTAAAAGGTAATTTCAGTGTTGAAGAAGGTCATGTACAAATCATACGTTTATTTCTACAACTGCATGATGTAAAACACGATACTGCCCCAAACCTAGATGACAAAAATGCCATTGAAAAATTATAACCAGCCTCCTACAAAACGAGCAGTGTTTTAACAGTCAACACATTCTGTCCCAGTGATACCAGCACTCTTGAACTGATATGGGGGTGGTGTTTGGCCTAACAGCACAAGACCACACTGTCAGATGCACAGACACCCATTCATACCATCAGCTATCACATAATATGCCCAAAGCTCCATAGAATAAACTCACACATTACAACATGTATGCAGAACCTGAATTAATGGGTTTAATTTAGCTGTGTGCATTTAAATATGACTACATGTGTTAAAAAAATTAATCTATTTTTAACTTCAAACATTTGCTTCCGGTTAAAATACAAGTCCTCTATCCAAAATATTGCTTTCTCCAGCGAAAAAGTTGTCTCAATCAGGTGAAAAATATGCACAGATCAAGCACGGTTTATAAGTGAAAACAGTCCTAAACTGTTCTGAACAAATATGTCGGTGGATTTTGATGTGAGAGGACAACAAGGGATGGACTTCTTCATCAGAGGGAGTGTTATTATGGATTATGGACTGCAATTTTGGCCAGAAGAGAATTTAAGTTAAGAGGCCTTAGTGATGAATTTTTTTTCTTACAAACATGCAGCTTTCCGCTTCACAAGACGTTAATTGATGGACTGTAGTCATGTGGATTACTTGTGGGTTATTGTGATGTTTTTATCAGCTGTTTGGACTTTCATTCTGACGGCACCCATTCACTGCAGAGGATCCACTGGTGATCAAGTGATGTAATGCTACATTTCTCCAAATCTGTTCCAATGAAGAAAACTAACTCATCTACATCTTGGATGGCCTGTATGTGAGCAAATTGTCATTTTTGGTTGAACTTTTCCTTTAATAAGTAGATTCACATTCAATGATGCACATTCAAAGTTACTGTAAAATAGGTATAAACTACATCAACTGACCATTTTTTAATTCTGATCTGAATTTAACTGGTCTATTTTAAATTGCTACTATTTCATAAAGTCAATCAAGTCGTGCTAAATTTACCACACAGCGATTAAGGGCGTATAACAGAGCGAATCACTGTAATATATGGTCTCGAGTGACATATTGATCTTATGAAATGGCAGAAACAGCAATAAGACTGAAAAGAGCAATATCGAACAGATTCTTAACCACTAAAACACTGCCAAGAAATTAGACATCGAGTTCAGACAAGATACAGTGTCTTCTTGTGAGAAAATGTTTCACTACTGTCTAGGCACTTTTGAAACATGATATTCAGAAAGAAAAACTCAACGCCTGCACTCATTGGTTTAAACTCGCCACACAGTCATATCACCCTGCAGCCCAAGACTGGTTGCCCACTGAAGCTAAGCAAGGTTGAGCCTGGTCAGTACCTGGATGGGAGACCTCCTGGGAACACTAGGTTGCTGTTGGAAGAGGTGTTAGTGAGGCCAGCAGGGGGTGCTCACCCTGTGGTCTGCGTGGGTCCTAACGCCCCAGTATAGTGACGGGGACACTATACTGTCAAAAAGCACCGTCTTTCGGATGAGACGTTAAACCGAGGTCCTCTGTGGTTATTAAAAATCCCATGGCACTTCTCGTAAAAGAGTAGGGGTGTAACCCCGGTGTCCTGGCCAAAATTTCCCCCCTGGCCTTTGTCAATCATGGCCTCCTAATAATCCCCAACCACTTGATTGGCTCTATGACTCTCTCTCCTCTCCACCTGTAGCTGGTGTGTGGTGAGCGCACTGGCAATACACAATAAAGCGCTATATAAAAGCATCATTCATTCATTCAAACTTATGCGGCCTTGATGATGTCACTTGAAATAGAAGTTGTTTGAAAGGTCAAGCATTTAGATGATAGATTACAAAAACAAAGATGCAAAATATAACCAGAAACATGTATTTGAAAAAGTAAATTTTCATGTTTGATTTTTAACGTATCAAGTAGGGATGCACGATATATCGGCCACCATATCGGTATCGGCCAATAAATGCTCATTTTTTCTGTTATCGGTATCGGCCTGATAAGAAAATTTGGCCGATATCTTAAAGCCGATAAATAATGCATTATTTCCTTCAGAGACACTTCAGATGCCAGAGAAAAGTCTAATGTTTTCACCTGGGAGATCCGGTTATGACATTTTAATTAAAAAAAAATTTAAATAAAAAATATGCATGGATGAATCATTCTCACTAAAATCTAAAACATGCATGTGGAAAACAGATTTTATTTTTACATGCCATCTTTAAAGATGCCAAATTCAGACTCTAAACCTTACATTTATGTCCCATAGTTGTTAACATTTGTATAAATTCTTGGTTTACAAGGCATCCTACTAGACTGTTTGTTGATTAACTGACCTTTAAGTGTCAACCAGATACACCACAGGGCTAGAAATGGGGTCACAGTCAGTCATGCAATGTCATGAATCCACTACACACAAGCAAAAGTGTTTAAATTAATCCCCTTTGTTTTTGTTGTTTATTGTTTTATTATATAATTTGATTGTTTTATGTCATCTTTAAAATTGTAAAAAAAAAATATATATTATTTATTATATATATATATTGTTTAAAATATTACCCTCTTACCACTTATACTATTATTTTATGCTATGCTTTGTTGTTTCTGCCTTCAATTTAAAAAGAAATAAAGAAAAAAAAATGTATACGTATTAAAAAACAATGATTTATTTTAATATTGTTCTGAGCATAATAATAATATTTGACTAATTATGTATATTTTATTTATAAAGTTACCCATAAAATCAAACATAATTTATTAAATATACAGATGTAATATTATTATTATGGAATATGGCATTATTACAGAATGTGTTGTTTTTTTATTTGTTATCCTAGATATGGATATGGGATTGGATACGTTTCAGATTTATAAATATAATTTTAGCCATTTTTATGGTTTGAAATGTAATTTTTGTTGAGCTCTATTTTCCTATACATTAGAAATTGAATAAACACTGATCAAAATACTACAATTATAATTCATTTATTTATTATTAATTGGATATGCTCATAAACAGAAATAGGCAAATAGTAAACTTAACATCTGTCAATACATCCTAAGTGATACATTAGATAAAAAAAAGAAAGAAAGAAAGAACAAAAAACAATGATAAAAATGATACTCTTTCTACATACTTCAATTATTTCCCCTTACATTTTAAAATATACTGGCAATTTCACCCATTATTTTTTTGTTTGGTTATATCGTTCTGAATGTTACTCCTTAAGGATAATGTAATTCATAAATCGATTAATGCAAGCTGTCATATTATAAGTAATAACTAGTATAACCAATAGAGGGCGACAAAGGAATACAGATTAACAGTGATCACACTGTTAGAAACATCTCTTTACATAAAACTACACACATTTTAATAATATAGTGCAGACCAGGACAGTTGAATAATTATGCAAATTGGCAGAATAATGCATTAGAGGCAAATTCTGTAGTAAAATAATATATGACTCAGAAAGCAGGGAGAAAAAAAGTTTAGCAAGTAATGGGTTTGAGATACATTGTATAGACAGGTCAGTGTTAGTCCTGTCCGTCTGTCTGACTCTCTATCTATCTATCTGTCCGTCTGTCCGTCTGTCCGTCTCTCTATCTATCTCCGTCTGTCTGTCTGTCTGTCTGTCTCTCTGTCTATCTATCTATCTATCTATCTATCTTTCTGTATCTGCATCTGTCTATACAATATACAGTATATAATAAAATGCTTCTGTGTGTCAATTATTCTCACCTTAGTGGAGAGCAGCTTGGTGAGGTACATCTCTTTGAATTTTAGTGCTTTTTTCTCTGGATGTTTGCTCAGGTCTGTGTCGATATCTGGATCGACCTAGACCAATCAAAAAGTCCAGTTACTTTGTGTATTTGAAATTGTCTTTGATATCATATATATTGTTATATATAATCAAAATTATTTTACAACAATGTCTTCTTATATATACTGACAGCGGTTCTAATTGAAATGTTGAAGTTATTATGCCTCAAGAGGCAAAATGCTTGGTGTATCTTTGAACAATATCAACAACACAAAGATTATGTTCAGATTTGCTTAAAAACGCTTCCTCTCATTTAAACAGGAAGAAGCTGGCAAAACCGAAAGTATCACACACCCACATTCACTTCACTTCAGTGCGAATGCAGTAGCATCTAGATATAACACATGAACTCTCAATAATGGAGGAAAACACAACACAGACACTTGACAGATCATTAGGTGTGTCAGTGCAATGAGAAGGACACAGCAAAACAAACACTGGACAGAAGAATACATGCCCTATGGCAACTCACCAGATGGAAGTACTTGACAGCGAAGTTCTCATAATCTGTCGAACAAAACACCATAATGATGAGTAAATAAGCAATGTCAAGCTGATACTGGTGCAACAATCATTATTGTTGTTCTTGACGCAGCAGACAGGATGTGTTACAGTACAGAATCTCTATTGTAGTAACAGTGGTTTTTTAGTAGAACTTAAAATGGCCACATGTCAGCACCCAAATTTGCACAATGCAGATGCACATATACCACAAACACATATGCAAACATAACCAGATATGAACAATGCATGTGTTCATACACACATTTCGACATCTTGGACCCTGTCTGACATTAATCAACATTATTAGACTACAAACAGACCATTGATCACTAATATACACTCAAACTGAAATGGCATGGATTAATTTATATTCGTATTTGAATGTACAACAATTACTGATCTGTTAACTATTATAAAATGTAAATATATCAACAACTTCATGAAAGTTCTAAAAGGCTACCAGAAACTGTCTGTGGTACATATGCAGGAAAAGAGACTTCACCGACAGATATAGCACGTGGTATAAAGAGACAAAGATAACCGATGCCACCACTTCCTTTACACAAGGCCAAATTTCATCCTTGTGCTTCAGTGTGAGAAGGTTGCCTTAATTTGAACTCTTTGTTAACAGCTCTAGTTCAGCTTGACAAGTTCAATAGAAGGGATAGTTCACCCAAAAATGGTAATATTCTAATTATCTACTCATCTTCAAGTCTTTTCAAACCCACATGACTTTATTTTGTGTGTGGAAAACAAAAAGTGATGTTTAGCAGACTGTTAACGCTGATCTCTTCCATATAGAGAAATTAGATGGGGGACCAGTGTCCCTCGTATTTTTATTAAAATCACTATATTTATATATCTGATCATATGATAGCTTTTGTGAGGAATACACTGAAATTTCAGACTTTTATAATTTCTTTCTTTATAGCTCTGGTCACCATTAATTTTTATTGTATGGAAAATTAAGCTTGTACATTCTGATAAACTACTTCTTGTGTGTTACAAGGAGAAAGAAAGTCCTATAGGTTTTGAAAAAGATGAGGGTGAGTAAATGACAAAATTGTCATATTTTGGCTGAACTTTCCCTTTACTTGAATTTCTCTTAGCTGATGTAATAGAATACAGAACACATCTGGATGCACTGTTACATGAAAGAAAAAAACAATTTCAGAACTCCCACATTATATGTTGCAATACTGAATGTTCTGTTGAGGGGGGTGGGGTGTTTGCAAAGCTACAGTATTGTGGTGAGCTGAACGGCTGTTTGTAGTGAACTTCTAAGTTGTCAGTTATACAGATATTAACACTCAAAATGCAAACCTATTTTAAGTACAATAATAAAGTAGCAACAACTGCAACAGCAAAATAAACCACCCAAAATGTATTGATTGTGATATTGGGCATGGCATTGTTTCAGTTTGTGGATGATGGGAGGAATGTGACTCACCCTTTACACTGCTCTGAGACCTCAATGGTGCATGTACTTTTGTTGTGATAACTTTAATGCATGATCCATCTCCAACCTTGATGGAAATACATATTTAAAAACACAAACTCTGGAAAAGCTGAGAAAATAAATACTGTGCTGCAGTAGTTTATGGGTGTGTTATGGGTTTGCAACAGTTTAGCATAATCTGGGTTTATTTGGCCTTGTGATACAAGCTTTGCAAGTGAACGGTCAATTTCAAGCACCTTGAATAAAGCTAACAGAGACCATAAAAATACTGAGCAAGACAGTAAGACAAACTTATTTTGTAGTCTTTTATCTGTTACATTTCTATTCACACATGACTATTGTTTTATTTGATAGAGATATGAACTATATTTTTTACATTTTCTAAAGAAAATGTGATTGGTCATTTTACTTTTGTCACTGTTTTTAAGGTGTTGCTATGTGGCTGCTGGGGTGTTCTGGGTGGTTTCTTAAGGATCCACTGAAGTGCCTTGAAATATGCAGCACTACTCAATGAGTTGATATAATAATATAAGAACTAACCCTTTAAGCTTGGTAAAACCGCATTTGACCCCCACAGTGTAATAACTCCTTTAGATACAATATGAAACTAAAGTTACTAAAGCAAAACAATGATTATTATGATGTTGAGGATGCGTAGAAAATTGTCTCATCCAGTCACTTTAAAATATAGCATTTTGTGTAGAATTCAAATGGGTCTGATATGTTTTGTGGTCTGCACCGACTCATACATATGATCCGCTCTGTGCTTTGTGTCTCTGGCCCAAAGCAGACTATTGGCTGCGGCAGTTTGTGGGACACAACGAGAAACCAGACTTCATTCGCCCCAATGGGAAGCACATTTACACTGTCTAAATCAATCCCTATCCCCTATGTAGTGCACTACGTGCCATTCACTATATAAAAAAATAGTAGTTCTGTGAACAAGTGACCGATTTCACCAGCAGCTTCAGTGTCTATTTATAGTGTAGGGGGTGGGGCGCTTCAGAAAGCATTTGATTAGAAAATCGGATGATTTTTGTTGATTAATTGCACGTTGATCCATATTGGTGGAAGTGAGAGACTGTAAGGTTTGAATGCTTATACAGTATCTTCTAAATGTGAATTTTTCATTGTTTTGGCTCACACTAGCTTACACAAAACCTTAAGGCTAACATATTCATACTAAAAGCCAAAAAACTATTTTGATTTGATGGGGACTTTAATAGCTCAAAGGTCCGTTCACACCAAGGATGATAACTATAACGAAAATAACAACTAGAAACTTATAATAATCATTCTAATTCTATGAGAGTTGTGGCACAGAGAAATTATATCAGTGGAATCACAACTTGCTATAAGGTGTTTTTAATGTGTCTTAAGGTATTTTAAAGGGGTCATGAACTGCCTTATAATGCTATCAAGATTTGTACATTAAAAAAAACATAATAATAGGCTATTTTCTGTCCTGTCTTTAACCCCCCTCATCAGAACGCTCTGTTTGAATAGGTGTGGCAGATTGTAGACTCAAAAGTAAATGCCCACTGCCATGATTGGCTAACAGTTGTGTATGTTTCACAGCCTACATCCTTCACAGATGGATGCTGCTGTCATTTAGGTTAAAATGCATAAATAACAGGACAGTGCAAAGACTGTTTTTCCACAACTTGGCACTACACAGCATCTTGTTGTCTTCAGAGCCATCTTTATCATTTAGTTTCCTGCATAGACCTGCGTTCACCTCTCTCGTTATTAACCTACTACAGTACATATGTGAATCGCTGGGCGGGGCTAAACGGGCGTTGATCTTCTTCTGCGGAGGCAGTGTTCAGCCACACTATAATGTCATAAAGTGGCACATTCCACAAGCTGTCATTTTGGCAAATTGGCTTCAATAAGCTGTTTTTAGACTAACAAGAAAGTTTTGAGTTCTGAAACTTACAGGATGTTTTTATAGCGCAATGACCTTTTATATGTTGATTTCTCAGTTCATGACCCCTTTAAAGCAGCAAACAACTGCAGTATGTGCTCATAATAAACAGAATGTCATTGGTGATTCTTAAAGTTATCTTTATAGTTGTCGTTCTTGGTGTGAACAAACCTTACCTCAAATCCCTAAGCCTTTATCTTATTCTCGTCTCTATATATGGCCCATGTGGGATTTTTGTTTTATCAGTTGTCTGTTTGCTTAGAATATAGTCCACTTCTCAAAAAAGATGTTTGCTCCATTTTTTTTGTTCTCATGCACTCACCTGATAATGTTTTAGAGTGTTCAACATGGTAACATGCCCCCGAATCTCTGAGGACTCATCGACTTCCTGCAGCATGACAAACTTCCCTTCCTTTTCATATTCTGTGAGTGCACAACATAAAATGGAATACAAACAGGAATTAGTTTAGCGGATATTGCAACTGGCAACCTGAAACTGTGTGTTAACCACAGACGTAGGCTCTATAAGGAAGTTTTATGAAATATTATAATCATCAACAGTAAGAGAGTGAGAAACAGGGAGTCTACTAACCAATTTCTATATCCCTGATCTGCTGGAAGAGGAAACCAAACTTGCGCTGGAAGGTCTGCAAGATTTTCTCCTTGACCTGTTGTATTGTGTCACAGGTCAGTGCGTTGACCTCTAAGGGTTCACTGACCTCTCCTCCAGTCCCCACAGCAAACACCACCTTCAGTTTCTATAGGGGGCGAAAACATAAACCAAACAATTTAATGACTAAAGAAAAACTACTCATTTTATATGTGGGACATAATTTATCTGTTTTTTTATGAGAATGCATGAAGAAGCAAACACTTTAAGGAACAAGCACCTAAAGAGCTCAAAATAAAAATATGACCTGTAATAAATACAAAAAATACTGAATGTTCAATTTCAGAGATAAGTTTTTAAAAAAGTTTAAATCTATTACGATGGAGAAAAAATTTAATAAATTCCACTCATAATGTCTTTCATATCACTGGGGCTGTTCATACAGACAATATTTAATAAACTTCAGTAAAAGAAAACATTATTTATAAACCATTTTCTTACATACTTTTTTATTTTTTAATGTCAGATAGATCAAAACATTTTAAACTGGCAAACCAATTGTTTATCTATTTATCTATCTATCTATCTATATACATATATATATATATATACACTACAGGAAATAAACAGCCTAATAAATCTATGTCAAGTTTTATTTATGTTTTAAATGAATGATCTCATACTCACCTAGAATGCATTGATTTGATTAGAAATACAGTAAAAACAGTAACACGATTTAAAAAAAAATATTAAGTTAAAAATATATAAAATTATATATTGTTTCTTTCTAAACGGTTTTCAACATTGATAATAAGAATATTAATAACTGAGTACCAATAATAACTGATGATAACTGAGAAGCAAATCAGCATATTAAAAGGATTTCTGAAGGATCATGTGACACTAAAGACTGGAGTAATGATGCTGGAAATTCAGCTTTGCATCACAAGAATAAGCTACATTTTAAAATACATTCAAATATAAAACATATTATTATATTATATTATATTATATACCTCCAGTTATGGACATTTCAAGGACAAAAAAAATATAAAACAAGATTTTAAGAACATGTAAATCAAAAAAATAAAATAAAATAAAAAAAGAGAAAACAAAACCTGTATACTTAGTATCTCTCACGCTGCAGGATACTGTCTGCTATCACTGCATGACATGTCACCAACCAATGAATTCATCTGCAGAAAACATCTGTTAGTGTACAGATGACACAAAGCGACTGGGCCTAGTTGTCAAGCACAGTAACTATTGTGAGTCAAAAGTCCATTTACAAATTGTGTTTTATCCATAGACTGTATAGTTTTATCTTGCAGTGGTTTTTATTTTGCTTTCAAAAATGAATACAAACCACAATAGCATGCACTTAGCCAATCAATTATGTATAAAGGTTTATTTTTCTTAGTACAAATACTATATATTTCATAAATGTCAGAGCGGGGCAAATTAATGCATTCATGAATAAATACAATTTATGAATTAAATATTTGTAGGCCATGTTTGCTGTTTTCTTCTTCTTCTGTTTTTGGCGCATTGCATCCTGTGTGCATATCGCCACCTACTTTTGCTGTTATGCAGTCATGGTTTATTTATAATCAATTTCTTCCTTGTTTTTGCTTTTGGGACATTCTACCAGAAACGTACATTTCCACTTGTAAAAATCTTGGGTGAAAAAAATATCTTATTCTTAAATCTGAACGTTGAGTCATATGGAGGACATGTTAATCTATATGAAACACATATCGTGGCATCTCAGCATGTTTTTATGATTGAAATAAATACATTTTTATACGCATTTCACCCCTAAAATGTCAGGCCCTGTCACAGACAAATTTGTATATATTAGAATGGTTTCCTAATGAATTTCTTTGATACAAATAACATTTTCTTATTGGTCACATGTCCCTGATTGTATCTAACATGGTTTTGTAATTTCTATAAGAAATATAAGCAACTTTTCGGTCAACTGTAGCACACAAAATCACAGAATACCCCGCCAGGCACTCATATAGTTGTAAAAAAAACTGCCTTTACATAGGAGATTTTTTCAAAAACATAGTAGTGGATATATACTCCAGCCTTCATCTACACAGTTACAGAGATTGATTCATCAATATTTCCTCAAATATTACATTTTTATAACATAATGTCCTGTGTGACAGGACTGACTGAGGCGTGACAGGACTGACTTTATGGATTTCGTTGATGCAGAAAAAGTTATGTTTTGTGTTCTTTATTTAAGTTTTGATAAGCATTCCTATTTTAAATTATTATTATAATTTTAATGTTAATGTAATATTAGACTATGGTAAAGTTCAGCCAAGGACATATAATAAGGGCCTAATTCATTAGAATATGACTGACAAATTAATAAACTAATTTTATTTTATTTCAATATAAAAAGATATTTCATTTAACAATTTATTAAAATTCCATTTAACAATAACATGGCCAGATACAATAAAAATAAACAACTAGAATTGCACAATGGCACAAACGCAGACAGGAGTGAAAACAAAATTGTAATGGTACTACTACTATGTTAGAATTAATTTAACAATAACAATTACCAACTTGAATGGCACAAACTCAGACAGGAGAGAAAACAATAACCCTGTGTTTTGCTACGCGTATCGGGTGTAATAAATATAAATATAACTTCAGAATATATAAAGCATATTTTACTATGATACAGCAAATGTATAGACATTTAACTGAATAACACAAAGTAAAGTAACTGTGGTACCCCGTAATATTACGGCTCAGTAATAACAGGGCAATACTATGGTAATATCTGCATTATTACTTAGGAAATTACATGGTAATAACAGAAATTGCATGTAATTTCCAAGGTAATAATGTAGATATTACCATGGTATCTTGACCTTTTATATGTTGATTTCTCAGTTCATGACCCCTTTAAAGCAGCAAACAACTGCAGTATGTGCTCATAATAAACAGAATGTCATTGGTGATTCTTAAAGTTATCTTTATAGTTGTCGTTCTTGGTGTGAACAAACCTTACCTCAAATCCCTAAGCCTTTATCTTATTCTCGTCTCTATATATGGCCCATGTGGGATTTTTGTTTTATCAGTTGTCTGTTTGCTTAGAATATAGTCCACTTCTCAAAAAAGATGTTTGCTCCATTTTTTTTGTTCTCATGCACTCACCTGATAATGTTTTAGAGTGTTCAACATGGTAACATGCCCCCGAATCTCTGAGGACTCATCGACTTCCTGCAGCATGACAAACTTCCCTTCCTTTTCATATTCTGAGAGTGCACAACATAAAATGGAGAATACAAACAGGAATTAGTTTAGCGGATATTGCAACTGGCAACCTGAAACTGTGTGTTAACCACAGACGTAGGCTCTATAAGGAAGTTTTATGAAATATTATAATCATCAACAGTAAGAGAGTGAGAAACAGGGAGTCTACTAACCAATTTCTATATCCCTGATCTGCTGGAAGAGGAAACCAAACTTGCGCTGGAAGGTCTGCAAGATTTTCTCCTTGACCTGTTGTATTGTGTCACAGGTCAGTGCGTTGACCTCTAAGGGTTCACTGACCTCTCCTCCAGTCCCCACAGCAAACACCACCTTCAGTTTCTATAGGGGGCGAAAACATAAACCAAACAATTTAATGACTAAAGAAAAACTACTCATTTTATATGTGGGACATAATTTATCTGTTTTTTTATGAGAATGCATGAAGAAGCAAACACTTTAAGGAACAAGCACCTAAAGAGCTCAAAATAAAAATATGACCTGTAATAAATACAAAAAATACTGAATGTTCAATTTCAGAGATAAGTTTTTAAAAAAGTTTAAATCTATTACGATGGAGAAAAAATTTAATAAATTCCACTCATAATGTCTTTCATATCACTGGGGCTGTTCATACAGACAATATTTAATAAACTTCAGTAAAAGAAAACATTATTTATAAACCATTTTCTTACATACTTTTTTATTTTTTAATGTCAGATAGATCAAAACATTTTAAACTGGCAAACCAATTGTTTATCTATTTATCTATCTATCTATCTATATACATATATATATATATATAGAGAGAGAGAGAGAGAGAGAGAGAGAGAGATAAACAATTGGTTAAACTCAGTTTTTAACAATTTTCATAAATTATGTTTTTTCATTGTGCATTCCAGTTAATCTCAATCAAACTGCAGTTGGGTTATTTTGATTAGGTTAAAAAATAACAAAAAAAATACAGCTAACTAACTTTTTGAAAATTAAAAAAATCATGTTTTTTATTTTTATCGTGTTAGTTAGCTGTATTTTTCTGTTATTTTTTAACCTAATCAAAATAACCCAACTGCAGTTTGATTGAGATTAACTGGAATGCACAATGAAAAAACATAATTTATGAAAAACAGTTATCTGTTTTTGCAAATGAACTCTTCATATATAACATTGAGTCAGATTTGTAAAAATACTTTATCGACTTAAATTACTTAGAATGGCCGTTTTAAAAAAAATGCACAATTGCATAAAACTATGCAGTTTAAATACTTCTTCTTTTTTGCCACTGTAATTTCCTGTAAAGCAGCAGAATACAATTTTAAACTATGAGTAAGACCATCTTCTGACACAAATATCTTCCTTTGGAGAAATGGCATTTACTGGCTTGGCAATACAGGTGCAGTCCAGTTTTGTGAGAGGAAGGCTTGTGTAGGACTGAAATCACAGCAGAAAGCAAAATGCAGAAGCACAACGGTCACACTAGTCTAACCGTGAGAGCCTGCTGGTGATTTTGGGGGGAAGATGGTCTTGTCACATGGTTCTGTCCACAAACTATCATTAATCTTTCCGGTTTTCTTGTCCACACAAGTGTGTTTATGAGCAAAAAACTGCTAGAAACCAACCATCCAACCACACTCAATATGAGAATTGCCCATCAGGAAGGAATCAGGAACAAAAAAAATTATAATTCTCTATAGCCCAACATTAAAGATTACGTCAGTTCACCCAAAAATGAAAATTCTGTCATAATTTGCCCACCCTCAATTTGGTCCAAATCTATATGAATTTCTTTCTTCTGCCAAACAGAAAAGATGATATTTTGAAAAAAGTGGGCAATCACCCAGTTTCTGGCCCAAATAGACTTCAATATTTTTTTCCATATTATGGAAATCAATGGGGACCAGCAGCGTTTTGGTTACCAACATTCTTCAAAATATCTTCGTTGATGTTCCACAGAGGAAAGATTTCACACAAGTTTGGAACAACTATTAGTAAGTGACGACGGAATTTTCATTTTTGCGTGAACTATCCTTTTAACAATGGCTCATACACATGTAAGAAAGAAACACAACAGTCGGAAAATGATACCTGAAGCACTTGTGCAAGAAATGTTGTGCAATGAAGCTACAGGATTTTAACGGTTTTAACAAAGATATATAATCACAGGAATAAATTACATTTTAAAATATATTAAAATAGAAATCAGTTATTTTAAATTGTAATCATATTTTACGAAATTACAATTTTTACTGTGTTTTAGATCAAATAAATGCAGCCTTTGGGAGCATAAGAGACTTCTTTCAAAAACAATTTTAAAAATTGCATCAAACTTTTGAACGGTTCATTTGGGAAGGAAAATATTTGGTGTTTGATTAAAATGGGGAATTTTTTAAAATGTGAATGTGGCTTGCAAATTACAGAAAGGTATTTCTAAAGTTAGTACTTTCAATAACTGTTTGTTTTTGCAAACACTTCCTCATTGCATAAAAGAGACAGTAAAAGAGGAAATACTAACCAAGGCCTCAAAGTCCTGCGCTTGGCAGAGAAGCCAGTCCTCGCTAAGAGTGTACAGAGCTTTCTCAGTCACCGAATCCACCGGCCCTTTCGAGATTTGCTGAGTCAAAGCTGACACCAACAGGAAGAGAGGCTGTCCTACTGATTCCTATGGAAGAAACATTATACTTTTGTGAGGACACATGAGTAGTTGAAGAGAACATGTGCTTTCTAAATCCACAACAGAGTGGATGTATGGACGGACCCTGAGGAAGCCGTACAGACAGATGGACATCCAGTTGGTAAGAAGCTTCTCCACTATGGACTCTGTGCGGCGCAGGAGAAGTTTGGGATTTGCATTGCTGGACTGGTCCATCAGACTCTGCAGAAGGTCCTCCATTACCTCTGTGAGATAAAGCAGGTCTCCATGGAGGGCCAGAGTCAACAGAGATGCCACTGTACATCTAAGAGGAAGAGGAACAGAAAGACAAGTTATAAAGAACAGAAGAAATACGAGTATAAAAGTAGTGTTACTGGCAGTTACACATCTGTCTGCAAATAGAAACCAACCACAGCTTCATTCATTCATTTATTTTGTGTAATATTTACAGTATGTTGCAATTTCTTGTATTATGCTCATTTTGTTCTATTTTTGAATATTGATGCTTTGAAAAATAAAATCTTTTATGCAAAACTTTCAAGCCAATAAAGTACTCTAAAACGTTTTGTGTTTTATTTTCCTCATTTAATTCCTTTTGTTTTATTATTAATCTTTTATATTATTTAGCATTTTATCGTTTTTTATCGCACTTTTTTTACATTTATATTATATTTTTATATTACTTCTTATTTTCTCGCCCTTGCAATGCTTGCTATTGTTGTTTAATCTTTTATCTAAATGATTGTTGGGTTTCATGGAATATTTGTCTTCATGAATAAGAGATAAGAGGGAATGTCTCCATTTCAAGATTTTTTGAGAGAGAGAGAGAGAGAGAGAGAGATAAACAATTGGTTAAACTCCGTTTTTAACAATTTTCATAAATTATGTTTTTTCATTGTGCATTCCAGTTAATCTCAATCAAACTGCAGTTGGGTTATTTTGATTAGGTTAAAAAATAACAAAAAAAATACAGCTAACTAACTTTTTGAAAATTAAAAAAATCATGTTTTTTATTTTTATCGTGTTAGTTAGCTGTATTTTTCTGTTATTTTTTAACCTAATCAAAATAACCCAACTGCAGTTTGATTGAGATTAACTGGAATGCACAATGAAAAAACATAATTTATGAAAAACAGTTATCTGTTTTTGCAAATGAACTCTTCATATATAACATTGAGTCAGATTTGTAAAAATACTTTATCGACTTAAATTACTTAGAATGGCCGTTTTAAAAAAAATGCACAATTGCATAAAACTATGCAGTTTAAATACTTCTTCTTTTTTGCCACTGTAATTTCCTGTAAAGCAGCAGAATACAATTTTAAACTATGAGTAAGACCATCTTCTGACACAAATATCTTCCTTTGGAGAAATGGCATTTACTGGCTTGGCAATACAGGTGCAGTCCAGTTTTGTGAGAGGAAGGCTTGTGTAGGACTGAAATCACAGCAGAAAGCAAAATGCAGAAGCACAACGGTCACACTAGTCTAACCGTGAGAGCCTGCTGGTGATTTTGGGGGGAAGATGGTCTTGTCACATGGTTCTGTCCACAAACTATCATTAATCTTTCCGGTTTTCTTGTCCACACAAGTGTGTTTATGAGCAAAAAACTGCTAGAAACCAACCATCCAACCACACTCAATATGAGAATTGCCCATCAGGAAGGAATCAGGAACAAAAAAAATTATAATTCTCTATAGCCCAACATTAAAGATTACGTCAGTTCACCCAAAAATGAAAATTCTGTCATAATTTGCCCACCCTCAATTTGGTCCAAATCTATATGAATTTCTTTCTTCTGCCAAACAGAAAAGATGATATTTTGAAAAAAGTGGGCAATCACCCAGTTTCTGGCCCAAATAGACTTCAATATTTTTTTCCATATTATGGAAATCAATGGGGACCAGCAGCGTTTTGGTTACCAACATTCTTCAAAATATCTTCGTTGATGTTCCACAGAGGAAAGATTTCACACAAGTTTGGAACAACTATTAGTAAGTGACGACGGAATTTTCATTTTTGCGTGAACTATCCTTTTAACAATGGCTCATACACATGTAAGAAAGAAACACAACAGTCGGAAAATGATACCTGAAGCACTTGTGCAAGAAATGTTGTGCAATGAAGCTACAGGATTTTAACGGTTTTAACAAAGATATATAATCACAGGAATAAATTACATTTTAAAATATATTAAAATAGAAATCAGTTATTTTAAATTGTAATCATATTTTACGAAATTACAATTTTTACTGTGTTTTAGATCAAATAAATGCAGCCTTTGGGAGCATAAGAGACTTCTTTCAAAAACAATTTTAAAAATTGCATCAAACTTTTGAACGGTTCATTTGGGAAGGAAAATATTTGGTGTTTGATTAAAATGGGGAATTTTTTAAAATGTGAATGTGGCTTGCAAATTACAGAAAGGTATTTCTAAAGTTAGTACTTTCAATAACTGTTTGTTTTTGCAAACACTTCCTCATTGCATAAAAGAGACAGTAAAAGAGGAAATACTAACCAAGGCCTCAAAGTCCTGCGCTTGGCAGAGAAGCCAGTCCTCGCTAAGAGTGTACAGAGCTTTCTCAGTCACCGAATCCACCGGCCCTTTCGAGATTTGCTGAGTCAAAGCTGACACCAACAGGAAGAGAGGCTGTCCTACTGATTCCTATGGAAGAAACATTATACTTTTGTGAGGACACATGAGTAGTTGAAGAGAACATGTGCTTTCTAAATCCACAACAGAGTGGATGTATGGACGGACCCTGAGGAAGCCGTACAGACAGATGGACATCCAGTTGGTAAGAAGCTTCTCCACTATGGACTCTGTGCGGCGCAGGAGAAGTTTGGGATTTGCATTGCTGGACTGGTCCATCAGACTCTGCAGAAGGTCCTCCATGACCTCTGTGAGATAAAGCAGGTCTCCATGGAGGGCCAGAGTCAACAGAGATGCCACTGTACATCTAAGAGGAAGAGGAACAGAAAGACAAGTTATAAAGAACAGAAGAAATACGAGTATAAAAGTAGTGTTACTGGCAGTTACACATCTGTCTGCAAATAGAAACCAACCACAGCTTCATTCATTCATTTATTTTGTGTAATATTTACAGTATGTTGCAATTTCTTGTATTATGCTCATTTTGTTCTATTTTTGAATATTGATGCTTTGAAAAATAAAATCTTTTATGCAAAACTTTCAAGCCAATAAAGTACTCTAAAACGTTTTGTGTTTTATTTTCCTCATTTAATTCCTTTTGTTTTATTATTAATCTTTTATATTATTTAGCATTTTATCGTTTTTTATCGCACTTTTTTTACATTTATATTATATTTTTATATTACTTCTTATTTTCTCGCCCTTGCAATGCTTGCTATTGTTGTTTAATCTTTTATCTAAATGATTGTTGGGTTTCATGGAATATTTGTCTTCATGAATAAGAGATAAGAGGGAATGTCTCCATTTCAAGATTTTTTGAGATGTCGTTCTGAAGCAGTTTGATAGAACAATTGTTGAATTTGTGCTGCTCAGATAAAGTCTGAGCATTAAAATATACACAACTAAGATTACTCAATAATCCCTGCTCATTTGTATCATCGTAACTTCATCTCCTGCTTCCTGGTCCTACCTGGCTTCCTCTCAGATTGATAGAAGACTTTTAGTTAGTACTCGTGCTGTCAAACGATTAATCGCGATTAAACGCATCCAGAATAAAAGTTTTTGTTTGCATAATATATGTGTGTGTTCTGTCTATATTTATTATGTACTGTATATATAAATACACACACATACAGTACATAATAAATATGTACTGTATGTGTGTGTATTTATATATACAGTACATAATAAATATAGACAGAACACACACATATATTATGTACTGTATATATAAATACACACACATACAGTATATATTTTGAAAATATTTTCATGTATTTACATGTCTATATTTATATTCATATAATTTATATTATAAATAAATATATTTTATATGTAAAAATAACATATTTTTCTGAAATATACACATGCGTGTGTATTTATATATACATAAATATACACAGTACACATACATATATTATGTAAACAAACTTTTATTTTGGATGCAATTAATCGTTTGACAGCACTAGTTAGTACAGTTTTGGGTATCAGACAAAATGCAGTGTTGCTGATTTTAGGTATCAGACAAAACTCTCCTGACTTGTTTTGGATACCAGACAAAATGGATATCTTCTAACAGGATCTAGGTAAGAGACTGAATGCATTATTCCTGTGAGGAGATTCAATCTAACACCATCAAGCCAATAAAGTACTTTGTGTATCAAACACATATATCTGTGTTTCAGTGGGGTGGTCATTTTTGAGCCCCCTCAAAGAGGAAGCACAAAACATGATCTGTTTACACTTCTAAGCAACAGGCATCAAGCCAAGGTCTGAAAATAACCACAAGGGCCTGTGACAAGGTTTAACAAGTCATCTTCAAACAGAGGTGAGAATATGTTCAAAGCGTCTTCTTCCTCTTTTGTAACTCGCTTTGGACAAAAGTGTCTGCTACATGCATACATTTAAATGTCTTTGACTCACTTGTCTTTTATGCTGAAGTTTTTCTGTTCCTCTAATGCATGCACGAAACAACTGAGAAACTGCTTATCTCTGATCAGCGCAGCAAAGGCCTGACATTTCTCATCTAAAGTTGTCTGCTCAGAGTCCTGACCATAAAAAAGACAGAGATAAAACATTTCGTTTTGTACAATGTGATATATACCACTAAAGACACTGCAGCATGTTACCTGCCCAATGTCTCTGATCATGACTGCTGCCAGAGGACCAGCCTAGTGAAAACGACAAAATATATATTAAACAAACAAACATATATAGCAATTCTACAAGAACAAAGTGAATTTCAGACAGATACAAATATTGAACCTCAGGAAAGAAGATTTTTGAGGCAAAGTGCTTGTAATCCAGGAAGGGTATGGCTCCAACATTATCGATTAAATCCGATTTTTCTGTTTGCAAGTCAACAAAGCCTGTCAAAACAAACAAACAAACAAACAAACCATAAATGCATAATGTAATCACACACAACAAGACTTGAAACATTTCTATGACGTATGACAGCAATATGAGCATTTAAAGGAGTAATGACATTTTCATGTTTACAGCGGCACGTTTGCCTGCAAACACTTGATAAATAACCTACATAACCTGTGGTGATTATTTACATGTCTATATTTATATTCATATAATTTATATTATAAATAAATATATTTTATATGTAAAAATAACATATTTTTCTGAAATATACACATGCGTGTGTATTTATATATACATAAATATACACAGTACACATACATATATTATGTAAACAAACTTTTATTTTGGATGCAATTAATCGTTTGACAGCACTAGTTAGTACAGTTTTGGGTATCAGACAAAATGCAGTGTTGCTGATTTTAGGTATCAGACAAAACTCTCCTGACTTGTTTTGGATACCAGACAAAATGGATATCTTCTAACAGGATCTAGGTAAGAGACTGAATGCATTATTCCTGTGAGGAGATTCAATCTAACACCATCAAGCCAATAAAGTACTTTGTGTATCAAACACATATATCTGTGTTTCAGTGGGGTGGTCATTTTTGAGCCCCCTCAAAGAGGAAGCACAAAACATGATCTGTTTACACTTCTAAGCAACAGGCATCAAGCCAAGGTCTGAAAATAACCACAAGGGCCTGTGACAAGGTTTAACAAGTCATCTTCAAACAGAGGTGAGAATATGTTCAAAGCGTCTTCTTCCTCTTTTGTAACTCGCTTTGGACAAAAGTGTCTGCTACATGCATACATTTAAATGTCTTTGACTCACTTGTCTTTTATGCTGAAGTTTTTCTGTTCCTCTAATGCATGCACGAAACAACTGAGAAACTGCTTATCTCTGATCAGCGCAGCAAAGGCCTGACATTTCTCATCTAAAGTTGTCTGCTCAGAGTCCTGACCATAAAAAAGACAGAGATAAAACATTTCGTTTTGTACAATGTGATATATACCACTAAAGACACTGCAGCATGTTACCTGCCCAATGTCTCTGATCATGACTGCTGCCAGAGGACCAGCCTAGTGAAAACGACAAAATATATATTAAACAAACAAACATATATAGCAATTCTACAAGAACAAAGTGAATTTCAGACAGATACAAATATTGAACCTCAGGAAAGAAGATTTTTGAGGCAAAGTGCTTGTAATCCAGGAAGGGTATGGCTCCAACATTATCGATTAAATCCGATTTTTCTGTTTGCAAGTCAACAAAGCCTGTCAAAACAAACAAACAAACAAACAAACCATAAATGCATAATGTAATCACACACAACAAGACTTGAAACATTTCTATGACGTATGACAGCAATATGAGCATTTAAAGGAGTAATGACATTTTCATGTTTACAGCGGCACGTTTGCCTGCAAACACTTGATAAATAACCTACATAACCTGTGGTGATTATGTAGTTACTTACAAGCTCAAAAAACAAAACAAAAAAAAAACATGACATTCTGGACCCCAATATTGCTCGTGATCCTTTTTCAATGTAAGTAAGTTGTTAAAAAATGTTTATTGACTGCGATGCATATTGCTTAGAAAAGTAATAGTCGCATGATTTGAGGCATCATTTATGTCCTGTGCACAAATGTGCGGGAGGAGTTACACACCAAAGTTGAATATTTGGGGTTAGTTGTGTGTTCATAACACTAACCTTCAGTGTGAGCAATAGTGATGCTTGCAAACACCACAAAGACCAGCATTTCAAAGATGACCAACCTTGTCGTATGTCCCTTCTGATGTTGCTTTCCAGCGTTTCTAGTTGCTTGTTCATTCTCTCATTCATTTGTCTCTGGCTCTTACGGTGAACAATGAATCCAACTAGACAGAGGAGCAAACACATACATTAATACCTGCAGGACTATTGTGAAAATATGTGATGCAAATCTGAAATCACTTACCAACAGCACCCAGAATTATGAGCAGAATCAATGCGGCAAGGATGGGTAAAAATATTAAACCACTTTGAGACTCAAGGTTTTTAGAAAAATTCCCAACATTTATCTGAAAATTATAGTAAATGAAGGAAGACTTTGTATGTAAGATTTATAAGGGTCATAAATAATTTACAATAAGTAATTAAGACAATTTGCATAAAGACATGAATATGTACACTCACAATAAGTAAGTCCACTGCTGGGACGGCTCCTGGTTCTCCTTTAATCTTACAGATGACGGCATTGGACTCAATCTTCTCCAAAACACACCGATACTGCTGATCTCCCTGTACACCCTTCACAGTCACCTCACTGATATTCAAATTCAAATTATCGTTCATTTTCTGAGGAACAGAGAGTGTGGGATGATTTGGAAGGTGTGAGTTTCTCATGCTAATAATAAATGTAAAAGTTAATTTAGAGTTTTAAAACCAGGGGCCAGCACGCATACCAAAAATGCAGAGAGTAGACTAAAGTTAAACTCACAGTATCATTAAACTCACCTTAATGTTCACCTGTAGATCGTTGGCCACCTGTAAGGTGGTGAATCCAGTGAATTCTGGATCAGGCTTATAGGAGAAATAATCCACACAGTTCACATTGGAGTTCCCAACATTCAACGAGAAGTTAAACTGACCACCGCCATCATAAGGGTGGGAGTGAAACCACATGTCCTGAGAAAGAGAGATAACGAATATATGACCCTAATACATGTGACATTTGAAGCTACATGTAAACATGTGACATTTAAAGCTGCATGTAAGCTGTGAATACACTTAGTCTCTTTAGTCGATATAAAAATTCTAACAGAAAAAAGCTAATCATTATATTCACGTTAACCGACAATCAATATTAAATTGAAAATATTAAAATTCTACAATGTTTTGTATAAAAAATAAATAAACTTAAATAATAAATAATAAATCAATCAATCAATTGCTTGAAATGTTTAGGCATCACAACAGTTTAGACGTCAGTAAGGTAAGGTGATTCTTACTCTGAAGTTGTAAGTAGCTGATCTCTGTGCATCATGCTGTGAGCAACTGCAGAAGTAATGAGTATGTCTTACCCCTGAGCTTGTGTTGTACTGTGTTTTCAGCACTTTATTAGAGGGAAGGACAGTAACTGACTCCACTAATTCCATATTGCTGCCCTGAACATGAATCTTCCTTCCACCACTGCATGAAGATACATTTAAAACATCTTCAGCAAGTAATACATGATATATAAAAAAACATATTTATTAACATTTGAATTCCCCCACTTATTTTTGCATATTTTGCACACACAGACACACAGTACCACACATTTCAGCAACCAACGGAAGTGAAACAATATTAAGAAAAGCCTGGCTGTCAGAAAGCAGGTTGCTCTCACTAAACCTCTAACAGTTTAAGCTAGACTAGTCTAATGTCACATGCGAGTTAGTAAACTGCAGATCTCAGAAATACGACAAAACATGCAGGAAATGACCTAATGACTCTCATTTCTGCTTTCATTTTTTTGCGGTCTCGCATATGTTTTTTCATCTGCTCTGTTCATCTGTTGCAAATCTTATTTTTCCACATTAACAGCATCCTTGCGAATTTCATGACTAAAATGTTCTGTATGACATAGGATTCGCTAATTAAAATGTGAAGTTGTCCTCTTGAGGTGCTGATGGGATGTGCAAGCTGATCTGATAGTGGTCTGAAATGGTCTGACCTCCACCAGCTGACTGTGGGCTGTATTCCAGTGCAGCTGGGCTGAGAACTGTAAGTGATGATGCTGTTACCATGACAACGGTCGTCAGGAGTAACAACACACACTTTCACTGTTCCTTTAGTTCCACTGGGAGGAATGTGGAACCTTAAAGTGTCACTGGAGCGATCGAACACTGGAGATCTGAAGAGAAGCATTCATGTGCAGATATACAGTATCATTTATCTGAATATACACACATTCATATGTACCACTAAACACAAACACACAGAATCTCACTCTTTAGGAATGCAGTCCAGATCCCCTTGAATACGGATTTTAGTAACAGCTTCCAGGTTCCTTCCTCTTAAAGACACGTTGTTTCTGCCATGGAAAGAAGCCTTGTTCGGCTCCAGTGACAGAATCTCTGGCTTCTACAGGACACCAAAAGTTACAAAGTTATAAAAAAAGGCAGAATAAACAAAATAACAGAAGTTAAAAGGATTTTAATCACTTATTATATCATTTAATTAATAATAATAATTATTATTATTAGTAGTAGTAGTAGTAGTAATAGTAGTAGCATAAATACACATTGATCAAATATATTGTAAATATGAATAATTAATATATTATACATAATGTGTGTATATATATATATATATATATATATATATATATATGTTTCCCCATTTGAGAAAAAATACGTTATACGTATGTATAACGTATTTTTTCTCAAATGGGGAAACAAAATCTCCGGCCTCTTGTAAAGTCATATTCATTTAAATTAGTGAAAACTGAAAACATAATACTTAATACTGAAAACACAATATCCCAATTCTGTGAAGTTGCACACATAATCAGTATGACACTTACATTGTAGACCATCTCAGAGAGTAGATGTTTACATGCATCCTAAAGAGTAGAGAAAGAGCAGATCATGTACTTCCTGAGTTCACTTCAGTCAACACAATGAGTTTAGCTATCAACAATGAATTAATAAGAATTTATTAAGTATGCTATTTCCCAGTACACATATACTGAATTAGTGGATTGTAGGTTACACATTGTCTCACCTGTATGTTTAACTGTGGTCCAGGTCCATGTGCCCATTCACAACGCTTGGAGGATGAGGACCAGTGACACCCAGATGAGATACACTGAACACACCTAAATTAAATTCATATTTTTAATATTTTTGAAATAAAAGTTCAAAGACGTCTTTCAAAATTATTTTAGACTGTGATTTTCTCACTGTGTATAAGAAGCATTTGGTGAATTATCTGTGATACTGGAGCAGTTCCTCAGTGTCAGCATCTCTGTGATCTTCTGATCCTCAATATTAACAGTAGCAGAGACTTTTAAACCTGAACAGATTGCCAAATGTTTCTGATTATAAATAATCATATTCGGACTACATAAATGCACTGTATATTAGAAAATATAGAACTTCTTTGAAGGAGAACCAACCTCTAGTATAGAGCATCTGGTCAGAAAAACTACAGGAGCAGTTTGGGAAAACTGCAGGCGGATCAGACACGTCACACAGGTTTACACTTTCTTTTGTGAAGGTGCATGAGAAGGCAGGATTTCCTGTGCTCTCCAGACTCAAAATAAGATGTAGATTAATCTGTGTAGAAGAGGACAATGGTTGGTAAAAAGTAATCTTTTTTTTTTCCAAATGAAAATTCGAGAAAAGTGTTTAAGATATTGATGTTTACCTTTCTAGAAGAATTCTCTGCCATCTGAAAAGAAAACAGCTGTGTCTGAAGAGAGTTTTTTGGGATGGACACCCATGAAGTATTTGAGCATTCATCTTGAGTAGAACATCTAGATAAAAACAGAATTGTTTGCACACTGCTCATCTTGTCCATATAGGTGATAAGAAGTTAACATGCTGTTCTACAATTAGCCATGTTTAGTGTAGATGCAGCTTAGAGCAGACATGCGTGATGTGTGTAATATCAGATGTAATAAAGGCAGGCTGACCTGTGACTGTTCACACACCAGCCGCAGAAAGGATCCAGAGCAGCTCTGCAGTCTTTGAAAGTCCTATATTTAGCACATGAACTCACAGATTCTCTTCTTAACTGCACCCAAAACATGAGCAGAAAGAAAAAGGAAAGGTGATTTGATCTATCACACAGTAAAGTATCTGACATACTGCCTGATTTAGCAACTTCTGGATAGCTTAATTCAGTGGTTTCTAACTGTGGGGCATGGGAAAATTGCCCTTTTTCACATATAAAAAAATGATCCTGGATTACATTTTTGGACAAAGGTATGCCTATAGGGCAAACTATTCCTTTCATATTGAGACTGAAAAGCAGTATCACTTTTTAATTCTTCATTTTAAAACAACAATTACCCTCGCACACCTGTAGGATAAATGACCAAAACCAGGTCAAACATCAAAGCAAAAATCAATGAATCCCGCACACTATCAGTACTTGCAAATGTATCAAAAATAGATTTATTTACACCCTTCATTTTATAAATGTGTAAACAACATTTTTTGGATAATATAGCCTACAGCAACTATTCATTATTCAATATTTGTATGATTTTTTAAAACTTCCCTAGCATACTATCTATATTTTTATTGCTTTTTAATTGCACCGCCTTTCTAAACCTCACCTGTTTCTTCAGAGCGATGTAGATGTGTTTGAAATCTACTGGATCAAAGTGCATTCTGGGAAGCACTGCTCGTTCATCATCAGATTTGTACAGCACTATTGGACAGCCTGGTTTATATTTCTCATCCAATACAAGCTAGAAAAACAAACAGAAATACAAACAAATAATATGTATATAATATAATATATAAAAATATGTGTAAATGGAAATGGTGGGCAGGTGTTTAAAAACAAAAACTCGGTGAGTCTAGTGAAAATAAAGGCATATGTTTGACAGATAGATGAAGGAGACCTTTATGAGTTGGCCATCACTGGTTCCTATGAACAGCACAATCCAGGATCCATTTCTAACTGCTGCCACTGCTGACATTGAGCTGTACTTGAACACCACAGAGAGCGGCTGAAGTTCAGTATCAGTCTGAAACAAACAACAAAATTCAACTTTATTTAATACTTGTCATAGTGAATAGTTAGTACCTAATTAATTACATGTTATCATGCAACACATATTGTCACAAATTACATCCTTATCTTAACAAGGTAAAATACTGTTTCATTTGCAAAAATCGTATGAATGTGCAGATTCCAACCTCAGAATCACATTTTTCACCGTAAGCGCAGAAGCCCTTCACTCGGCCTTGAAGGTTACTGATGTCGTACAGAGCCAGCGCGCTGTTCTCCGGATCCTGCTGATTCTGCGCACTGAACACACCTGCCCAAATAACACGGTTCACTGAGGGAATAACGGTGCAGGCGACGAGCACTGGACGAACTTTATCACTGCAGCATCGTATCGTTGCAGCCTGTAGGGATTTGATTATGTCTATCTTTTTCCCTTTAGAGCTGTTCATCCACAGGACGAGCACTTTCCTCTCACTGTCAGTCTTTGCATTGAGAAATAAATAGGATTCTGAGGGCGAAACTCTCTGGAATCCATCAACAAACTCCACATCTCTCACTGTGCTCTGAATGACGGCATCTGATAGTTCCGCTGTTTTTGAGAAAATCCCACCTTTTTGAGACTCTAAAGTGCTCCGCAAGCTAACAACAGAATATATGGTATCTTGAGCTTTTGCATCGTCATCCTTTTTCCCAACCAAAAGGTACCAACCACTTATGAAGGCAACAGATTTCTCGTTCTGTCGCGGTCCTACCAATATATTACTTTCATAATGAATACTGTCAGTAATGTCATTTATATCAAGAACTTCACAATATCCATCTTCAAAAGTCCCACATGTTATCAGGGTGCCGTTCACATCAAAAGCCACCAGAATGTTAACTCTGTTATGGTCAGTGGCATTAGTGATGTCTTTCCTCTTCTCCTCATGTAGATCGTGTCTCATCTGATGTAGTCGATGGTCAGTAAGAACAAATAACTTACTGTTACCAACTACGAAGTCCTTGATGTCTCCATCAAAGTCCTTCACATCACCGCAAATGCAGTATTTCAAAAGTACAAGTATTCCAAGTAAGTGTCTTCTCATCTTGCACATGTGATGAGCAGCTGAAGTTTAGAGATCTTGTCACAGCGACCAACTGCGCTCAGACGCGTCCACTCGTGAAGTGGATGGAAGTGAAAGCAGCGGCTCTGAGGATGCAGATGACTTCCGTGCAACACACCAACAAATCTGTTGCCCAGATTGCGACATTTCCCAGCAAGCAATAGCCATCATTTATATAGATAGACTCGATATAGTCCGCTGTGTGTAACCCACTTCTAGCCCAAATAACCTTGAATTTGATTTAATGTCGTTTTTTGGCAAAATAACTTGTGAGGTGTATGATATTCCATCATGTAAGCAAAGTAACAGCGTTTACAAGGAGTTTGGTTTCATTTCTTTGACATGATCAATGCTTAGCCTGTGCATAGCCACGATTTAGCTCGTAGCCCACTTATAGTCAAACCTGACCCAGCAAGCAATTATGCGTTTAAAAGACGTCAATTAGCCGTCTAAACACAGCCCAGACGTCTAGGCTAAAACAAGGCTAAATTTGGGCTGTCAGTGAAAATTTAATAGACGTCTAATCATAGCCCAAGAATAGACTAGTCATCAATTAGACCGCTATTAAATGACTACATATATAATATGGGTGAATATGGGTCTAGGCAGGGGCGGATTGGCCATCTGGCAATTCTGGCAAATGCCAGAGGGGCCGGTGTAGCAGTCGATTCTGTTCCCCTCTGGAATTTGTGTTTCCCCTCGGAAATAGTTAATCAAACACTGCCCCAATGTAGCCCAATTCCGCGGAATAAATACTGTGGATTTGGCAACACTGCAGCATGCAAATACACCAAACACAACTGGATGTACGGAAAGCAAAAATAGACAAATGTGTTGCTACACTGCAGCATAGTAAAATGACTCTCACACTCCAGTTAATGTTCTGTGATTTTTTTATTCATCTTGCAATTGTTCCTTTGTTTATGTCCGAGTTTTTGAAGTTTAATTTTGCCTATGCAAATTAGTGTAATCTGTCTGTGCTGACGTCCAAACTCAGGGCATTGGCTATTACTGTTTCCATATAGAGCAACAATACATTTGAATTAATATTCTATTTGATTAATCTGTTTACCTTCTCACTGATACAGTGGAATATATTTAATCAGAACACTTATCCAAACCTTTTTTCTTTCTTTCACAAGAAAGCCTTGCATACAAGATGCAAGTGTGGAACATAATGTTGTAATTGGCATACAATCTCAGAGTGCACCAGATAAATCAATTGATCAATCATTCAAAATAGCTCAGTTATAAATAAGGGAGATGACCACAAAATGTTGTCACCTGAATGACTGTTCTTGTTGGCATATGAAAGCAATGGATCCAAACCTATATGAGGAAATTCTAAATGACAAAACTCGAGGTGTTTATCCATTTGTCATAAAAAGGACCAGAAATATTTAATTTGCAGATGTTCCTCCAGTCTCCAAGTTGATGGTAAGCAAACTACTTTAAGTGATAACTCCTCTACACTGACAAGTTTTCTCATAGTAAAGTGAGGTATAGTGATACACCAAGACTAGATACTAACAAAAAGTCAATGCTTGTCAAGAAACTATACTTACCTGACTTAAAGCAACTAGCACATTGACAATAACCTGTTTTCCAATTTCAGTTTAAATAGACCTATTCCTTTCCTTTCAATTGGACCTTTATAACCTCATTGCAGGTTATTTGTTTAGATTTTAACAATAAAGTCATTTCAATAGATGCAAACTTTATCACATCTCCTCAAAAAACAATGTAAAGTTTAGAAGAAAAGTGGTTGCTGGACAAAAAGAGGCCAGCCAATTTTTATTTTAGAGTTAGAACATTGTGGAACCAGAAAAAACAAGCTTGCCATTTCAGCTAGATTCTACTGGCCTGGAATGGGGGTGGACATTGATAAGTGGGTAAATAGGCTACAAAATATTTTCCTTTTCAACATTGCTTTGAGACATATAAACTGATTATGTTATGGTATGCATTTCTCACGTGCTTATTTCTGAACATCAGGATTTGCAGTGTGCCCAGTGCCAGTTTAGCAGACGGTCCATCAAGCGGGAGCCCAAGTACATCCCAATATGTGTATGTAAGCTTGTTGTACACAGATGTGCATGGGTTTAGAGATAGGGAAGTCATGAGGTTACAAAATGTAAATGTATTAATGTTGCTATTTTAATTGTAAGGTGGACAAGCCTCTGGAACAGCTGGGCATGAATTTAGTGGGGAAAGTCACCAGGACCAAAAATGGAAATTAATACATTTGTGTCCTGGTTGACTATTACACAAAAAATAGCATGTGCTATTCTGAATAAATCTGAAGGTCTCTCACTGCATTAATTTCTTTTACAGATTTGGGGCACCAAAGATAATTCTTACTGACCAAGGCACAGAGCCTGTTAACCAGGTTTGTAGTTTATTGAATGAAGGAAAGAAGAAGAAAAAAAATAATCAGTATCCATGAAAATGTTCATGTGTGCATAGGGTTCTGATTTGTACACAACATTTATGATTCATTGTATATTTATTTTAATGTATGTTTTGTACACACCACACACGAGGATTGTTTAAGCTTTCAGTGCACACATAAATTCAACAACAAGGCATAAAAGAAAAAAAGAAAAAGATATTAGCATAAATTAGTAAGTATAAGACAGTATAAAACAGAATAGCCAAAGCCTTAAGCATCACATTGAAATCAGTAATAAATTTGATTGAAAAAAAAAGGAAATCAATTTCAAGTTGAAAAACCTCTCATCTTAAAACTAGCCTACATTGTATTAAACAGTTGTAAGCTTAGCGTAGAACCCCAGTAAATTTTAAATGTCATTGCTTTGTGATAATTGGTTAACTTAAGTGTTAACGAGCCTGTTACTGAATTGCATGACTGAAATATCAGCAGATAAAGTGGGATTTAGGGTAAAAACTGATGTAGGATACTTGCAATATAGTCTAACACATCAAAAACCTATAGCAATAGCCATAGAACTATAGACATTTGTAGTGAAATTTTCTTTGAATATGTAGATAGTCATATATTAAAATAAAACATTGAGCAGGCATACAGTACATAAGTATACAGTATGCAATTGATCCTTAGGTAGGGTGGACTGCAGAGTCAAGTGTCATGGAGGTAGGAAGACACAATGACTCAGCATACTTTAATTCACAAATAATTGTATATCAAAAAAGGATTTACTGATGCTACTATTTATAATTTTTGCTATATAGTCTATTCCCTTTTTTGCTATTATTACTTGTTTGTATTCATGTGTATTCCAATGTTGAGAGCAGTCAGTGAGAAAATATTTTGCTGTAATGTTTAAGTCCTATACTGTTCATTAACTTGGATGTTGCTGGAATCAGTACAGCCAGAGACCACTGGTCTTCCAACACCAGTGCTGTGAGGAAGGATGCTACAGTAGCCCAAGCAGAGACAGGGAGGAGTGTGGTAGAGGTAGGAAAAACCCAACAGACAGACAGTGACAACAAAGAACAACATACTGTAGAGAATGACAGTAACAGCAGACAAATTGCATAAACAGAGAGCACACACTCTACAACATCCTCAGATTCTTTTTCTTCTGTTTTTACTGTATGTGTAAATTTGTTATAAACGTGCGCTCTTTAAAAAGTAGTAAGCATTGTTTGCCAGACACATACATTAAATGTTTAAATATATGTTACATATATGGTACTGCTTATATTATTTCACCATCTGTACACAAATGTAAGTAGTGAATGTGTGTGTCCGTGGGTGGGGCTGTGTCTGTGTGGTAATGTGGGCCAGTGTAGCTACAGTGCCAGGGCTGAATTTTTGTCCCAGTCCGCCCCTGGGTCTAGGCTAAAACAAGGCTGAATTTGGGCTGTCAGTGAAAATTTAATAGAAGTCTAACCATATATACATCTAATAGACAACAAAATGGCAATCCATACATACAGATTTATTAAGAAAAAATTTTTTTTTAACAACTTGGACAACTTAAGACAATACAAAATTATAAAAATACAAAATAATTAATGACAAAATAAAATGTTATAAATACAATGCACTTAAATATAAATATTATGATAAAAAAATCTGGAGTTTTTAACAACTCAAGATAATAAAAATATAAATATGAAAAAATAAAATATTTGAAATAACTTAAGATCTTAAGAACTTAAAAAATCTAATACAAATCAAGAGCATGTTATCACACGTAACATTAAACCATTACGGATAAATGACAACATAAAAAAAAAGATTAACCCTTTTGTTGGTTTACTTTTAACAAATAAAACAACCAACAGTGAACTTAAAGGAAATTATTAATTATTGGTTTTATTTCTTGTTTAAAATGCTTCCCAACTGCATTCCTCAAGTCTAACTCTGTTGCTGCCGAGAAGTTGGTCATCACAGCATCTGCCAAATAAGAAAGAAAAAAAAGCACAAGAAAAGCTTGACATAATTTTTTACTTTAATTACAGTAATTGTGACAGGGAGTCATTATCTTTTGCTTGGATGCCAACTAAAAACAAAAACGAGATATATAGTGTATCACCATTCAGTGTGTTAAAAAAGAGAGAAGCTCTCTGGTAAATGTTGTGTGTTTATACACATACAGTGGGTACGGAAAGTATTCAGACCCCTTTAAATTTTTCACTCTTTGTTATATTGCAGCCATTTGCTAAAATCATTTAAGTAAATTTTTTTTCCTCATTAATGTACACACAGCACCCCATATTGACAGAAAAACACAGAATTGTTGACATTTTTGCAGATTTATTTAAATAAGTATTCAGCTCAGTATTTAGTAGAAGCACCCTTTTGATCTAATACAGCCATGAGTCTTTTTGGGAAAGATGCAACAATGCAACAAGACCTGGATTTGGGGATCCTCTGCCATTCCTCCTTGCAGATCCTCTCCAGTTCTGTCAGGTTGGATGGTAAACGTTGGTGGACAGCCATTTTTAGGTCTCTCCAGAGATGCTCAATTGGGTTTAAGTCAGGGCTCTGGCTGGGCCATTCAAGAACAGTCACAGAGTTGTTGTGAAGCCACTCCTTCGTTATTTTAGCTGTGTGCTTAGGGTCATTGTCTTGTTGGAAGGTAAACCTTC